ACATGGAACTCAGGTACGAATTTCACTCCAGCATCTGATAGTTACGCATTGCCACCACTGTTGGAAGTCTGACCATTAACTGTCTTGCTGAAGGCAAAATAGAGAACTAGAAATAGTCAGAATTATCATTTAGGGAAATTTTCAGCTGCCTTTTTTAGGGCCTTTCTGTTGTTTTGCTTTTCCTATTTTTCCTTACATTTCTCTCCCCAAAACGAGATTCTATAGTATTCTGCTTGCATTAGGGGAAACTCACATGTGGTTGTCACCTACCTATGCAAAGGAAAATAAAACAAAACATAGTTGCTATCCCAGGAAAATTGGATGATATATTAAAACGTTATTAATTTTGAACATTAACTGTTACAGTTTGAGAAATATGGCCTAAATGTACAGCATGAGTTGTATACACTTGTCTCTGAGAAATCAGTTACAGTTTGCACTAATGTCTTGAGATTCTTTATCATAATAATTATTTGTTCAAGTTAAAGCTTGACACCCTTGTTTTAAAAAAATATCAATTCTAGGGTCTCTGTCCTTTAAGATGCATTCACTAGAAATTGCAATAATGATGGAATTCAATGTTTTTTATTTGTTAGCCCTGGCAGCTGTGTATTAGTAAAATAAATAAATTAAATAAACAGCAGCATCTGTTCCAGTCACTAGAGGCTTATTGCTGGAGTTATCTGCATCGGACAGGAGGAGAAGTTCTACCAGAGGAGCTTGGCTTTCCAGATCAGAGATTAGTAGAATCACTAGGAATAAATATGTAGAATTGTGACCTGTGGGAAATATTTCACTTGCCAAATGATGACGCTAACTAGTATTAAAGTTTGAAGTCCTCTAGCATCTATTCTGCATTATTCATATGAGTATAAATCCCATTATATTCAAAGATCTAATATGGTATCAGTCTGTATCTTATTAAAAAGAAAATCTCTGGTGTAGTTGAGAACCTAAGCCTGTAGGTTTTTTCTTTTAGTTCATTATTCTTGGATCCAGGATACCTTACTCTGTATGTGTGTGTGAACAGTATAAAAGTGTGTATACATGTATTTATGACTATATACATAATTCTTTGTGTGCATGTGGCTGTGAGTGGGACCAGATAACACACACATATGGCCATACTTGCTGTAGTCAAGGCACCTCCCTGTCTTGTTTGGATAAACTAAGCAATAAACACACTGGAGAGTTGTGATGCACAGAAAGTAAGACAAGGTGATCTAATAATGCCTTAGTATTGCAACTTCATGAATATCTCAATAAACCTGGGAGAGCAGTCACAAAGTAGGTATTCCTGTGCAGGTATCCCTATGCCAGTATTCCTACCCAAAAAGGTAATTTTTAAATGAATGTATTAATTTTTATTTATTATATATATTATATTTCATATATATTATATAATATACAATTTTACTTTATTCATTAATTTAATGATTTTTTTAAAATATGCAAAATAAATTCTTCATCAGCTGGACACTTATAACTTGCCAATTCCATGAAAATAACCTGGGGAAGTTGTATACAGTTGTAGGGGAAAAAGTGGCAGAATGAACCAGAATGTTTAATTTCCTTTATTGGAATCTAGAAAGTCAAATGGAAGTTGTTTATTGTGTTTGCAACCGTAGCCAAGAGTACATGCTAATAATAAATATTAAAACTTGAAGGAAAACAGAACTGAAATTTATGGACTTATGATGATGATGATTGTGCTGTTAAAGTGCTATAGTTGCATAGTGCACAGTAGTTTCAAATGGCAAAACAAGATTTCTTTGAAACTAGTTCTGTACTACGTCTTAAGCACTTCAGAAAATAATTTATAGTAGTTCATCTGTTTCAAGCTGGAGTTCACAAATGGGCTTCCTTTGACAGAAGTTGCTCTCTTCATCTCTTCTGGGAATCACAGAATCATAGAATGGTTTGTGTTGGAAGGAACCCTAAAGATTATGCATTTCCAACCCTCCTGCCATGAGCAGGGACACCTTCCTCGAGGACAGGTTGCCCAAAGCCCCATAACACTTGGTCTTGAACACTTCCAAAGATGGGGCAGCCACAACTTCTCTGGGCAAACTGTTCCAGTGCCTCACCACCCTCACAGTAAAGAATGTTTTCCTAATATCTAATCTAAATCTACCTTCTTTCAGTTTAAAGCCATTCCTTCTTGTCCTATCACTACATGCTCTTACAAAAAATCCCTCTCCAGCTCTCTTGTAGGACTTCTTTAGGTACTGGAAGGCTGCTATAAGGTCTACCCAGAGCCTTCTCTTCTCTAGCACAAAGAACCCCAGCTCTCAGCCTGTCTTCATAGGAGACCTGCTCCAACCCTCTGATCATCTTCACGGCCCTCCTCTGGACTCACTCCAACAGGTCCACATCCTTCTTGTGTTCCCCACCTCATTCCGCACCTTCTTCTGGTTCAATTGTAGCAATCGGAGACTAATAGAAACACACAATCCTTCAGGTTGAAGAGATCTCTGGAGGCCACCTTGGCCAAAACCCTGCTCAGAGCAGGACCAAATAAATCAGGTTGCTCAAGCCTTTTTCTAGCCCAGCTTCAAATGTTTCCAAGGGTGGAGATTCCACAACCTCTCTGGGCCCTTGTCCCAGTATTGGACTGACCACATGGGAAGTCATTTCTGATACCTAGTGGAATTTCCTGTTTCCTATGTCCACTGCCTCTTGCCCTATCACTCTGCCCGTCAGTAAAAGACCAGAGCGTGCTGCTGGCTTACATTCAACTCAATGTCCAACAGCATCTCCAGGTCCTTTTATGAAGAGCTGCTTTTTACCCAGATGGCTTCCAGCCTGTCCTATTGCATGAAGTTATTCCACCCCTGACACAAGACTTTGCATTTGTCCTTTTTGTCAGCCCATTTATCCAGAGGTCCTTCTGAATAGCAGCCCTGCTCTCCAGTGGAACAGCCATGTCTTCCAGTTTGGTATCACTCAAATACATACTGTGCATGCAATCCATCCCATCATCTGGGTCTTTATTAAAGCTGTTAAACAGTATTGACCCTGGTATCCATCCCTGCCTGAAGGGCCTGCTAGTAAGGGACTGCTAGTTGGATTTTGTCCCATTGATCCTAGATGGTTTCCTGGGACCAGCAACTCAACCAGTTGCAATGTCTGGCTTCCTAGGAAAGGCAGCTGTCAGGGCCTTTCAATGCTTATTCCCTCAATTTTATTTAGGAGAGACTGTGCCATCATTATTCTCAAAGGCACTAGAGCGCTGTCAATGCAGAGATCTGGTTGCAGGTTTAAAGCAAGCGAGTAAGCAGGAGGTAGTGGTAGCATGAGGGATAGCTACTGAAGCCTAGGAAGAAGTCTCAGGATCAAAGAAGAGTAAATAAAATGGAGGACAAGTCCCATTATTGATATTGAAAAAGTACTCCTGGCACTTCTTTGGCTCAGAAAAAAGATTTTCTTTTCTGAAAAGCATACTCCTGGAGACAGAGGTTACTCAAGCTATTTTCATCCTTCTACTGTAAATATGTACTATTTGCTATTGCAGAAGATGGGATATCAGGCTGGACAGCCCCATTTACGTGAGCCATTATTGAGTACTTGACTCTCATCTCTTTTCACATTAAAAACATGAAATTATCAACAAGCTAAGTGGTAGTGATGTGGAAGTTGAAGGAAAGAAGATGTTGACTTTGTTTTGATATCCAGGAGAATGCTGAGAAGGTTGGAGGTTCCCACTTCCTTTTTTATCCTTTAGAAACACTAACGTATTGCAAGTAGATGTTACAGTTCTGGGAAGTATTGTATTTAGCAGTTCTCTGAAATTTAAGCACTGAATGTCAGCCAAGTAAGTCAGATGGATATGTGTGGGTAAAAGGGATATGTGGTAATTTGAAGGAAAACGAGTTTGCCAGCAAAAGCTTCTTCAACTTTGTGTGGAGGTACTCTTCAGTTTTCAAAATATATCTTAGTCTGATAGGTAATTTCCAGTCTTGCTGCAGTGAAAGTTGTTCACTTTAAAGTATAGTGCAGCCTATATTTGGTTGCTAATTGTTTGGCATTTCTCTCTCCACTTCTCTCAATTTTGTATTACATCTGGTGTCCAAATGACATAAGTAATATATGGACATCGCAGACAGAAAAATCGGGAATTGCAGCATGATGATATTAATTGTGTAATAAACAAATTTGATAATTGCAGCCATTTGAAGTAAAATTATAAATGGTTTATATAAAATAATTCTGGTATTAAGGATAATGAGCTATATAATTTAGTAGCACTGGGAACTAACTTCTTTAAAAGTTGCTGTGGCTAATGCTATTGTCACAGTAATTTCATGCTGTTAAAACTCCACCAGCATTAATGGAGTTAATCCTAATTTTCATCTACATAAAAGCAAAGAAAGCTCAGCCTCAGTGATTTTTTACGTACTGTTTCAAGAGTGCTCAAAATTTCTAAATCCACTTAATTCCACATAAAAATAAACCTCAACGCAGAGAGATCTAATTGTTCTTATTTCACATATAAAAATATATGGCAAACAACAAAACAATGAAATACTGTTCTTTGACATTTTAGATTTGCAATGCTGTTTGAACATTCAGAGGCTTTTTGAGCTGTATTTTTATCAATGAAAAGTCTGTGAAACTGCTTAACTAAAAATTGGCTTGTATTAATGTTATCCTGTCCACTAGCTTCCACAGATGAGGGAAGTACTTAACTGCCTGTATCAAAGGGAAGAAAAAAGCATTTGATTTTTAAGACATAAATCAAGTACTTCGTTTCATACTCTTTGATCAGTTTTGCTGACACGGGCACGTAATCTGACCCCTTTGCCATCTAATTATGAACCTCTTTCCCCTCCCTCCCCTTAGTATTGAGCTTTTATCAAGGCTAGGTTTTTTTCCCTCCAGGGAGTAGTCATGCCTCCTGCATTTTTCTCTCTAGTGTTTAGAAACCCCTTTGCAATGTTAAACTATTAGGAAATACCCACTTCTTCGAACATCAAGTACATCTTTTTTTTTGTTACTAGGCTGCCGCTCTATGGCCGTGCACATAAACTACAGCTTTAGTTCCACTGGAGTAAACTGTATTGGAAGAGTTTCTGGGAATGAGTGAGAGAACGTCTGGGCTTCATGTTCTACAATGAGAGTATGAATACGTTAAAAGAAGATAAAGGAAAAATCTACCACTTCATGCGTAGGCACCTACCAACCTGATATTTTAAATACGTTTTAGACAAAACCATTATTAATGGTTTTGATCATTAATAATGTGCATACTGTAGTACACTAACATAGAATTCACCACTGCTTGTCCTGGCTGTCTAAAATAATGCTAATTTGAATTGGATTTTCAAATGAAAGCAAAAGGATAATACTTTTCAAAATACCCTGGCCAGGAAATCAAGTAAACACTTGGATTGGTCCATGCCTGGTGTCCTTCATAAGTATGAAGTTTTGATGCTTTTGAATCTCTGGAATAACTAAATCATGGAAGGGAATCAAGCTGTGTTTTAAGTGTAGAGGTTTATATGTAGCCATACACAGTGCTTTACAAATGGGTTAAAAGGGCATTAAACTTTTATTAAGAATATTTTCACTTATGCAAGGTTAGAATACACTGCCTAGTAAGTTATGATATAAGTCACTGTTTTCACATCTGCATCTGAAAATGGAGAGGGTTGAAATTTAGCAGATCTGCCTTCTGGAGTACTGTGAGCAAGCTTTAGATTTGTCTGCCCACGAGCACTTCAATTTGAGTCCTACAGCGTTAAGACCTTTCACAGACGAAAGCTGTGTTGAATGTGTGTACTATTGTTTCTCATCCTTGTGCAATTTTGCATGTTTCCATTCAGAAAGTGGAATAAAAGCAAGCTTGAGATGTGTTCCTGCCTTCATTTTTAGCACACCCAAGTCGAGAGGAAAACCCCAAGGTTGGTGGACATCTAATTTCTTGTAGATGTTAACTTCTAAAGAGCACAGTCCCTGGTTATGTCTTGTCAGAGACCATCAGTTACTATCTAAAATATTGTAAGGTCTTCATAATTAGACTATTTTCTGTATAAACAATAGCTACAGACTGAAAGCAATCTGAAAAATTGAAGTCCAAAGCAAAGGAAATTAATTCGTTCAAGTGAATAAAAGAGATCGTATTGGCCAGAGATGCCCAGTAGCTTGAAACCAAGCTCAGAATTTTTAATATGTGTTTTCCTTTGAATATCCTCCTGTATGCACTCCTAGGTTTGCTGGAGGGCAGAGGAGAAGGAGGATTGTTAAAAATTAAACAGCTTGCTCTTACTAAAATAAAAATCCATCGTACAGTTAGCATTGATATAGGTGCTGACCTTTGGCCATGTTAGTAACTTGTTCCAGAGAATCTCTTCAGCATTTGAATATATTTTGTTAATGTAGGTTAATATTATAACAAGGGACAAATCTTCTTAGAATAGTATTTTCCAGGATACTCAGCCATAAGGCAATGTTGTTTTCTAAACCAAGCCAGCTGTTAAAAGTGCTAATTAGTTCTGCCAAGAAGGTAACAGTGCCTATGTCCTAATAATCCAAACTGTAATGTGTATTAAGAGGCTGTCAATGCAGCAGTTATGTTCTCCCATTTAGGAATATTACAAGAAAAATTTACTATGAACAGGAGATTGAGAAAGAAGTGGAGATCATAAAACAGTATAAATTAGGAGCTCAGAAAGAAATTGGACAAGAAACAGCTTGGGTATAGGAAATAAACGAGTATAAAAGGAGAGAAAAAATTACTTCATTTTATAAAGTATTTCTACATCAATCAGTGCAAGCAAGAGCAACATAAGAGGTGCGGCTTAAAACCATGCACTGAAGTTGCAAGTGACAATATTGAAAGATAATGAAAGTGTTTTCAAAGAACAGGGATGCTGACCAAAAAGCTAGAGGCTGGAATGCAAACAAAAGTGAGGTTGCCTGAAGCGTGACACAGGCAGCACAAGATCCTCCTCTGTAGTTTATTTGTTGCAGCAGAAGCACCACGGTCCCAAGCTACCACCAGTGCTGCGTACAAATCTGCCCAGTGCTGCAGTGCACCTTTTGACACCTAACACATGCAGCTGAAACTCTCAACTCTACCAGCAAGGCTAAAGAGTGAGAATTAGAGCATCAGACACATTTTCTGCTGGGTGGCACTGTGTCAGGTAGATGCACATCAAAATATACGTGCAGAGACGTAGAGCTAGCAAAAGCTAGGTTAGCTGTTGTTTGCAAGAATTAATTTAACTGTTGAAGGTGAATTGAACTGCAAACCAAACCAGGTCCTGTAACAGTCAACACAGTTTTTGAGCTGCTATAATAAACGGAATTATTTCCCACACATGATGTTACTAAAAATGTCCATCTTGTACTAAGTGATTTATTTTTCTTTTCCCCAAAACTTTTGGATAACTTTGTCACCATTTACCATAATTTTTCTCCTGTGTTCTTCCTAATGAAGAATGGTTGAAAATGCCAGTGCACTGTATTCCAAATATGGCTGCAAGAAGGCTGCAACAGGACTGTATAGAAGATTACTTATTCAGCTGAATTCCAAATATGAGCCATGGCTGTTCTCAAAATGCCAAGAGAACCATTGTAAACCATTTCTTTGGTTTTACAATGGCATCATATAAGAGATCTTTCCACCTGTCTGGTTTGGCTCTGCTTTTGAGACTGTGGGTGCCAAAAATTGATACGTTTTTTTAAAACACAATAACATGCCATCAATATTTTGCAAAGGTAAAAATGTCTTAGTATTACCAAGTAATCCTAATCCTGAGAGAGGGACCTTTTCTTCCTTGTGCATCTAAATTATTCACAAAGGGAAAAGGCCTTTAAAACCAATTCAATTTTATTGCCAAGACATGAAAGTATAAATAACTGCTTTCACCATATCTTCGTTTTCTCTTGTTGTGTTTACCAGAAATTAGTTAGTCATACAGATTCAATGTAATTTCATTATATCCAGAATCCTGTTGTGCCAAAATAGTAAGTGTATAGAGGACCCAAATGTAGTTTTCCCAGTTTTTCTGACCTTTGCCACTAAGGACCTTCATCACTGAACAAGCAAGGTTAGAGCCCTAGAGAGGCAGAGTTAATTACCTGCTTCTCCCATCCCTGCTGCAATGCTATCTCACTTTTCTGTATTTCAGTTTCCTCATGCATTGTTTTTCCTTCCTCTTTGTTGTTGTTGTTGCTGCTTTGGTTTTTTTGTTGGTCTTTTTACACATTTGTTGACACAGTAGGATATTCAGTATAGGAACAGTGCATCTAAAGGGTCCATATGAGCTGGAAGCTCTTTGTGTCAGTACAGTCACACTAATAAATTCTTCAGCTCAGGTACTCTAGCTCACTTTATTTCATTAGGCATAGTTCCTCACAGCGCGGCCTCCTCACTAATACTCTGTTTTAGTAGGGGTGAGCAGATTAAAATGAGCATGCTGGACATCTGCTACCACCCTTGCAAAACAGTGGAGGTCATGGTCCAATCCAATTAAGAACAAAACCCTAAGGGATACTGAAGTTAGTATTCCCTTGAGCTGCCCAGAGCTTTGCCCTCTCTCACCTCAGATCAAGTTTTGCATTGAAATAATGTCCTGTCTTGATTCTCCTGCTTTGTTTAATTATCTGTACTGTTTGTACTATTTCTTTTAATGTTATGTCTATTAAGCTACCATTTCTTTTCCTGTTGGCTTGACTGCAAAAGTCTTATCCTGAATATGCATGGAATCTAGCACAACCTCCAGGCAGTAGTGAATCTCCAATACTGTTATTTATAAAAGATATTTTGTGGACATTGTACACACAGTAGTAAATTTATTGAAGTGTAAAGAGAAAAATGGCTCAATACAATGCAACACTTCAGGAACACATTTTGATATAGCTCTCAATCACACACAAACATGAAGTTATACTGTCTGTCATAGAAGAATTGGATATGATAAATTCTGTGAGCAGTATATTAAATCTAAGGCTCAAAAAGCTAGCTACTTTCACAGTACCAGCTCCAGGAAGCCGGCTAGATATCCCTTCAGTCTTATGTTTAACAAATTGCTGTGAAATTACGCGAGTATTCTTTTCTTTCCCCTCAAAATACAGCTTTTTGAAACATCACCCTTTAATATTTTTCTGTTCACATCCCAATGGATAAATATTCATATCTCAGAATTTCTCACAGCTGGCAGAAATTGGCAATACTGTTGTTTGCTAGAAAAGAGGCAAAGGACTGAAATGGAATGGCGTTATTGCCCCATAAATGTGATCTCATCAAATCAATCTGCAGGTCTGGAAAATTCATAGTTCTTCCATCAAATTGCTTCAACACTGTATGTGTTTTGTGGATAATGTGAGGACTTACATCCCTGATCCAAATCCAGCTGAAGCTGGCAGAAAGACTGATTGTGATTCTTTGGAATACGCATCCTCATCTGCTGACACATATTAAAAAAGGTGTACAGAAATACCTGTGCCAGGCTCCTGTGCCTGCTTACAACACAAGGAAAGCACTCATATTTCTACTGTTTTTTTAAGCGAGGAGACCCAATCCTGATGTAGAAAGGATCCTGCCAAATTAAGTAAACAATGCAGCAGGGCTACAGGAAAATTTGAATACTACATGTCTAGAAGAAGGAGACCTGAATTCACAGCCTTAGGGGAGGATAAACAAGACTAGCTTTAAACCATCTCTGTACTCCTCTGATTCTGGGTTGATCAGCAGTCTGAACAGCTTCCAACTGGTGCTGAAGTTCTGGCTCTGACAGCTCTTATTTGCCATGTTCTGCAAGAGCCCTTTGGATAAACAGCCTTTATACTCCTTATGCTGCCACCAACAAGGACTCCACGAATTGCAGAACACTCCAACTATCGTAGCGGGCATAAAATGAGTAGAGCACATTTGAAGACATTTAAAGTGCACAAGAACTACTTCACTTTTATTGAGATGTCCAAAGTAATTTCTATGAGGCTCACTTGTCTGGAAGCACTGTGCTGATACATCTCTGTTGTCACTGCTCCAGTTCATCACTGAACTTACTCCCAAAAATAACAACAGAAATGCTGAAGACATGACATTGGAGGCTGCGGTGAAACCTACACAAAACTTCTTATGATTGGAGTCTGGATTATTGTGGACCATATGGGCTCATCATAAATGTGCGAGAATATTTATTACACAAAGAACAAATCTATAAACACAAGTTTTTATTGTAGCCAACAAAAGAGTAATGTAACTAGGAGAAAGGTGAGGAATTAATCAAATATGTAGCTGGCAGTACAAACATAAGACCTGTGATACCAAATGTAAGGCCAGAATTTCTGCGAAGTAACATCTCAGCATGTCTTTTCATTATTTTTATTTCCTGCATTAACATATGAATGATCAGTGGATGCTCGGGGCATTTAGAAGCCAGAAATAAACTAGAATGTATAGCAGTTTGTCCTGACCCTCCCTTTGCTACTGCCACCCCTTGCTTCTTGTCTCTTTTGCTTCCACCTCACTATTCCTTAAAGCTGCCTTTTCCCATTAGTGATCATGTCACAGTGCTTTACCAATTAAAAGTCTTACTAGATAGTCCCTCTAGATGGTTTCTGATTCTACCATTTCTCCTGATTCCTCACTAGCCTTTAATAAAAGTGATACTTTTCGTAGCCTCAGAATTTCCTGCTTGAAATAAGCTTCCAAAGTAGCATGTGTGTATCAGCCAGGCTAAGTGAAGACAGAGGAAAGTATGAGAATTGGGAGGCCTTTTAATACAATTTTAATATATTTTTACTATAAAAGGATTAGTTTCACAAGACTCTTGAAAAAAAGACATTAGACAAATCAAAAATTGAGTCCAATAGACATAATTTTTAACGGGTTTTACTTGGTTCAGTAGAATCTGTTTGGTTTTCTTTCTGAGGAGTGCTGTGAGCTTCTGGGTTTTTTTATTTCTTCTTGGCTTCTGTTTGTATTTGGATATCACTTTGCACAGAAAAAGATTGCCTCTTGGAGAGTTCAGTTACACATGCTGTTCAAGTGATCCTGACAAGGATGAATGGTAATAAAAATTGTCCATCCTTTGAATGTGATTTGGATTACAGCGCAGAAATTATATGTCAATATTGGATAGGGCTGTAGGGGGGCTATACACAAGAAATATAGGGTTATATGTGAACATGATTTGTCATTCCCCTCTTGACACCACTCACTCTATGGGTCTGTTCTTTATTTATAGGCAAGAAGCATGCTGACATTTCAATATTCCTTCAGTTCAGCAGTTCAGAGTACAGTCACAGCAAGAAAAGCAACACGTGTAACCATGAATAGCTGGAGATTCATTTCACTAGATTTTCCAAGAATTTGATTTTAAATTGAAAGGTAAGCCACAAAGCTAATTTTACAGGGCTTTTGAAAAGGGGAGGTCAAATTCTAGGATTAAAAAAAAAAAAAGATTTATGAATAGTATTCATAATGAGACTGGAAAAACGGCATACAAAATTCCCTTTACATTTTAGTAGTAATTACAGGAGACAACAGATGCTGTCCTGTCATGCAACATAATGTTTTACTTTGTTTAGTTCTGGGCTTTGATTGCATTACTAGGGCCAAAAGTCAATCTTAGCTTATTTCTATGAATTATGTCTCTGTTACTGACAGAAACAGGAATAATCGTGTATACACAATCAGATGCAAATGTATGACAAAAATAAAATTCATGCTATTGTAATTAGAAGGATCAGAAGGAAAAAAAGTATTAATTGAATTAGGCTTCAGTTAATTTAATTAACATGCCAGAGCACTGTGATCATGAGCGCATTAGAAATACCTTAACAGTGATGATTTTCCATCTTTCGAGCCCTATTTAAATATCTTTTTTGTCATACATTAGGAAATTATGAAAATTCATAGTTGTCCCCTGAAAGTTTTGACCTGGTAATGATGCAGAATGAATACAATACTTCTGCCAGTAGAAGACTAAGAATGTCAAAGTATTTCAGAGTAAATAACATGGAGATTACATCTTGCAAATACAAGATATTTTGGTATTATAAGTTAGAAAGAACCTTTGCAGTCAGGCAAAAAATCACTTCCCAGGGAGAATAGGAAGTGTAATCAGGCCTGTCAGGAAGTGTAATCAGGCCTGTACATTCTCAGAAGCCTTGAACAAATTAAAAAAAATAAAATAATCAGAATGGAAACATTCAAGGATATAACTTTTCCAGTTGTTAGCAGACCAGGTATAATGCTAGCATATTAAGCAGCCACTTTTTTTTTCAGCAAGATATTTTTCATCAAGAAACAAAAATAAAAGTCCTGATAGATTCAGAAATCTCTGGTTTCGCCAAAATTATGTGAATATTATTGGGCTTCAGTTGCTAACGACTTGCAAGCTGAAGAATTAATAACCAGACTTCAGTTGCCACCATACACTAATGAGGCTGGAACATGACCTGCACACCTAACCATCCACAAATAAAAAAGAAAAAGCTCAAGGCTCACTTACAACAACTGTCAAACTAAGGCATTTTCTTTAGTGCTAATCCAAAGATGGATGAGCCCTAGTGCTGCAGCAGTATATCAACATTCAGCCAGTGTAAGCACCAGAGTAAAACAACAGACAGTTTACTCCAGAAGTTCTCAATATATGTTTTCCTTTTGCTTTGAACATTTCTAATGTTTTGCCCTGGGACTGGATGATAAACCCACATTAATCCCCTTGGAAGATTGTATTTACTGTAATTGTGTGAGATCAGACCAAGGTTTTATCAGCATATTTTACCTTATCCTTTTGTACATTTTTGCATTCCTTTCTCAGTCTTCAATCATTGCTTTGCCAATACTAATTGTGTATGGCAGAGCTATCAACAGTAGAAAATTCCATATATGGCTGCACAGACGAAATGCACAGAAGAGAGTAACCCAAGCCTACCTCCTTCATATGCACCTCTCCAATCTGAGCAAAACAGAGGGTGGTCTATGTAGCTGAATTCTAGATCAAAAACTGTGTTTTAATTATATTTTCAATTAAATCAGAACATCTCACTTGTTTTCTCTCATCTTGAAGGAAGTCTGAAATTGTTTGTCCAGATAGAAATTTGGGGCATGATCACATCATAAATTTTCAGAATATAAGAATATAAAGCTGTGTTAGAACCCTGAAGGTTTTGTGGAATAAAGTTGTCTCTGAGAGAGCTGCTTCAGGGCTGACAGGTTGTTCCTGGCTCCAGCACAGTCCTGAACACACAGCTTTTGTAAAAGCATCCCAGAAACTGCTTCTGACACTCTCTTCCTTATTTTCCAGACCATTGAACTCTTACTGATCGGGAATTGAACACTGTAGAGATCCTTTAAACAACTTCTTGCATTTAGACAGCATTGGTAGGAGGGGAGTTCACAGTAGATATAAAAGATTTTTTTTCTGTGAAGCAGTTCCTGAATTGATAAAGTTATCCTGAGATATGCATTTAGGGAATTTTGTCCATAAAGACAATTTAGTTAGTCAATGGGAACAACCAGAAAGAGTGTAGGAAGCACAGATGAGTGTTTCTGGAATTCTTTTTCCCCTACTAATTCCTGGATACCACTTCCTGTCCTTGGAAACAAGAAAAACCCGTGTAAATTGGAGGGAGGCCATTTTTTGGAGAGAGGAGGACCAGCCCATACCTCCTCCCATGGTGTAAAACCCCAGGAAATTCTACCCAGGTTTTTCTCTCCTTTTCATGCTTTCCACGCTCCTAAAGCTTTTTGTTCAGCAGCTCCTTGAAGAATGTGGCATTTCCTTTGAGCTAATGAAATTGCAACAAGCAGCTGTAAGATTTGGACTGAATGAGCTGTTTCTCTGTGAGGAAAGAGTGCAGTCTCTTTCTGGGCAAAGGAATAAACACTGTGAAGAATAAACAGTGTGAGTTGCTGTAGTCTGAGGAAGGCAGAGCTTTGGGGCAGGCTTGAAGAGTTGCAATATATTGGCACTGGGGAAGAGTAGGAGTGACAGAAAAGATGCTACAGAAAAGAAGATGTGAGGGAAGTCTAAAAATGTTTGAAAATGATGCCTTAGGGAAAATCTGAGTTGCTTCAGTTTTCAGCTGAGAACTGTTGTGTACAGAACTCACTCAGAGATCAGCTAGTGCAAAGCTCTGATTCAAAGTGTGAGTTTGCTGTGAGAAATTTTCCATCCATGTCAGGATTTTGCCAACATCTTGTAAAAATGCTGCTTCATCAGTCCAGACTTCACTGGGAGCTGCAGACATTTGGCAGATGTTTGAGTTTCATTTCACTGTATCACAGAATGGTTGGAAGGTATCTGAAAACCATATAGTCCAACTCCCCCTGCCAAGGCAGGGTCACCTAGAGCAGGTGACACGGGAACATGTCCAGATAGGTTTTGAATGATTCCAGAGAGGGCGACTCCATGATCTCCCTCGGCAGCCTGTTCCAGTGCCCTGCCACCCTCAATGTAAAGAAGTTCTTTCTCATGTTGAGGTGGAACTTCTTGCGTTTAATTTATCACCATTACTCCTCGTCCTGTCACTGGGCACCACCAAAAAGAGTCTGACACCATCCACTTCCACAAGTGAGATAGAGGAAATTTGATTACTGTTGCATCATCACATTATAAACTTTAACTTTGTATATTTTATCATGTGAATCTTTTTCTTTTGAATGGTGCAATCCTATGATCATACTCAGTGAAAAAATGCTGAACCCAGTGAAAGTGTATGTGTGTATGCAAAGTAATGAGGTAAAAAAATATAGGATAAGGCCTCCAATGTTGCTATACTGCTAAAAAACTCAACATTGAATAATTTAGCAAGAGGTCATTGACACCAAAACCACCAGATTGCTTTGCAGTAGCAATGTATGAATAATGTGAAGCTATTTCTGGGAGTCAGAAAAAGGAATAATTCTGAAACTCAATTTTTCATCTATCTAAATAGTACAGATATCTCCTTGGGAGTTGTCAGCTCAGAAACTACAGTTCTTTAAATCAGTATGTTTAACTGGAGTGCACAACTCCAAAAAACCTACCAAAATATATTCTTGCAAGCATGAGTGTGAAATACATAAACCCCCTAGCTGATGTCAAGTCTTAAGCCTCTTTAAAGCCAGTATGGAGGTCCTGATGATGAGGATGCTTGTCATCTATTCCTGCACGGACAACTGGTGATTAGAGTAAGGGTTGTGGTATAACATTGAAAAAGACAAGAGTGATACTATCATGTAGGATTATTTTTCTTTTCCCATCAATTGCTAACGAGCAATGCAGGTCCTTCCTTCCTATCAGATAAATTGAAAAATAAATGTCTGAGTAACGCTGTCTTGCATCATGTTTGGCTGTCTGGCTTAAAATAAGCAGGTGTCATCCAAAATTTTTCAAGGGTCCGAGCCAAGTACTCAAAGCTATCAAATTGTGTTTTCACTCAACTTTTAATAAAAGCAAAATTGTTTTAAGAAGTTGTGTGTTGATAAATGTATGACTGAAACATAATGTCTGGAACAGATCAAAGTAATTTTTTTTTAACGTTGGAAACTCATAATATTCTATTTGTCATAGTCTATTTTGAAATTTTTAAAACTTTCACATTTAGAAAAGTGTTTTTCCATTAGCAAACACACATTAATGCAACTAGACTGTTACAACCTCATTAATATTAAACTTTGCGGCACTGAATTAGTAATTATCGTGCAAATATTTAATTGCAAAATTATTCAGTTGCTGGATATTAATGTCGCTTTGTGAACACTTCTGCTAAGTGTGAACTCTGTCAGTGTTCAAAACAAGAAAAACACGACAGAATGCCTGAGTGCTCACAGGTGGGGAAAGAAAACAAACCCAAACCAACCAACCAAACACACACCTCCAAATAAAGAAAAAACACTAAAACCAGGAGACTGCAAATTTTTGTATTGAACTGTGAAGATTCTCTACCTGTATGTCATATATATATCCAGTGAAAGGCAGTTTACACGCACTTAAGGACAGAAAAACAGAAAAAAAAGCCCAAAATCAGAGCTACTCATTCCTTTAGCCCATTTTAGTACTGTGAGAAACTCATAAATTTACTGCAATTGACAAATTTATGATCGCGGTTGACCTTTCGAAAATTCTTTAGCACTCTGTTTGCTGTCTTCTTTAAGTTTTTCCTTTGTCAGCTCTTTGCACTGAAGTGTGAACTGCAGCAGAAAAGCTGGACTCTCCTCCTGGGGTTAGCATTGTATATTCTTAGGTATTAGACTCACATGTGTCCAGTGTGATAATACTTCTTACATCATGCCATTGCCAGCTCACGTTAGCACAACATCAACACTATCCACTGATAACTCTGTGGTTATAGAGCAAACATGAACTTCAGGACTTAAACTACGAATCAATTTGGCTTTGACAGCCTCTCATTCTAAGAAGTGTTTTCCTCTGAACCAGCTCTTTTTCCTTCCGTATTTTCTCAGTTTCTTCTACTTTCTTATTGTGTCTCATCATGAAGGCACTAGAAACAAATATATTTATTACCCTACAAATGATAAGGCTAAAAAGGAGAATAATACTGTAAGAAGATGTTTATTAAGAGGACAGGAGAGGAAAGATTGCTTTTAGTCCACAGAAGTTGTAAAACAGCAAAAGTAACTGAAATTATTTGTAAAAATAATTTTAAAAACTATGAGAATCTCACTCTGAATACATTTTCCCCCCTTGGCTGCCAATTTTCAGTATTTTGAAATGACTGGATTTGCTACTTTCATGCAGAGATCCTTCTCATTTTTTGAGAGCAGTCCCAAAATCCCTAGATTTGCGGAAAGGTGATTTTAAAATGTTTCAATAAGAGAAGTCCCCATTCAAGGAAACCAATAGTCTTCTATTTCAATTATCTTCGTTCATCACAAAACCACCTACCTTTAGACTGCCATCATGCTCATATGCTGGAAGCCACGAGTAGTTTAACAATGCAAGGAGAACCCACACTTAGCTGGAGACATTTCAGGAAACCTGCAGGTTCCTGATATGTCATTCTCCAGCTACACTAAAACCCATTGGATCAGCTGAACACAAATGGAGATCAAATTATCAGATCTTGGTCCTCACCAAAGTCAGCTTCCTATATTGGCTATATCACTAACATCATTTGTCTATTGAATGAGACTCTTGTTATTTTTATTCAGAACAAAAATAACGTTGTCATGTCCAAAGGCTACATTTTCCCCTTCGAAAATACTCTTTTTCGTCCTTTGCATTTAAACAAAATCTTTTGTCTCTATTCTTTTGTGGTCTGAGGCTCCTGTATCTCAGCCAAACACTGATACATTCATTGCAGGCTTCAGCTGCTTTGCACAACCTGAATAGACATTTGAGGCTACATGGGCGACTTCAATTAAACACTTCTATAGAGCTGATATTTTTTGTTGAAAAACAGTGTCTTTTTGCAAGGCCAAACAAAGTGGCAATTCCAAGGATGCAAATCAGAACAAAATACTTATAAAATAATAACTGCCAAGGCAACTAATTGTAAGCATTGAGCAGAGAGTACAAAGACCCATTTACTCAGTTGTTTCCTTCTTTTACTCTACTATTGTGAAATTACAAGTATCTACATTACAGCAAAGATGCATATGATTAAGTAGAATTTCAGTGAGAAATTTCCAGATTTTGATAACGAAATTACAGACTTTTTGAGAAAATGAAGTTTGTTTTCTTGGAGAATGGTAGCTATGAAAATATACAAAAGCCTTTTATTCCTACGCACATGTACAAAGTGGAAATTCTCAGTGAAGTACAAGAATGCAATTCTTTTTCCTTCACCCTGCTTGTAAGACACAAATTTGGTGTACTTCATGAAGTGCTTCACAGCAACAAATGCTACATGCTGATGTTTCCCATCAACTACCTAAGACTACAGCAAGTGCTTTCCTTCTTTTTTTGTTCATTCTTTTTAAAATAAAACTTTTGCAACTTGCATCTATATGTACTTTTTCTTCCCCCTTTATTTCTTTTTGATAATTTCCACCTGTTTATTTGCTGAAAAGTAAAAGAGGATCTTGGTTCCTTGACTTGCTGGAGAGAATTTCCCACATGGCTTTAATTTCTTCTGCACTTCAAATTATTTGGTCCAATTCATCCTCCCCTCTTCTTTGTTTCCTTCTTCCCCTGGGCCCAGCAACCCAGCAGCAGAAGTCTTTTTGTGTGTATGTGTGTGTTTGTGTGTTCTGATCTGAGCCAAATTATTGTGAATTACTCTGTCTGGCCTAGGCTATTATTAGACTAGCCAGCAACTGTAGCTCTTTTGATTATTTCAACAGCTGGTTTTGTTGCTTTACTAAAGCACAGCTCTCTCCTCCCCCTAGAAACTGCTTACCCAGATAAAGGGCTGTGTCAGGATCTGTTCCAAGACTGCTAAGGTAGATCTGCCATTGCTGCTCAGGAGCACTCTGTCAGAGCCCCATCTATCTCCCACAGAATTATTAAAGCCTCCCTCCTTCCTAGGTACCTCCATTATTTACATGCCTTTATCAGGTATCAACCCAGTGATGTGTTGTTGCATTTGGCAAAAACCCCTAAAGCTGTTTATCACTTGAGAATACCAACATAAACTAGAAGTGAGGCACAGCTCACAGAGCATGGATGAATGCATCTGGCAAGTACTCACTAGGAAAGAATTACTTGAAAGAAATGGAAGCATTTAAAATCTAAAAAACACCTCTAAGCTCAAATGCTTGTGGTGTTCCTCAGGGGTCTATACTGGGACCGATGCTATTTAACATTGACGACATGGACAATGGCACTGAGTGCACCCTGAGCAGTTTGCTGATGACAATAGGCGGTGTGGTGCAGTCAACAGGCTGGAGGGAAGGGATGCCATCCAAAGGGACCTGGACAGGCTTGAGACACGGGCCTCTGCAAACCTCATGAAGTTCAACAAGGCCAAGTGCAAGGTCTTGCAATCTCAAACAAAAGTACGGGATGGGCAGAGAATGGATCAAGACTACCCTTTGGGAGAAGGACTTCAGGATGTTGGTGGATGAGAAACTTGACATGTCTCATCCGTGTGTGCTTGCAGCCCAGAAAGCCAACTCTATCCTAGGCTGCACCAAAAACAGTGTGGCCAGCAGGTTGAGGGAGGTGATTCTCCCTCTCTACTCCGCTCTGGTGAGATCCCACCTGGAGTACTGCATCCAGCTCTGGGGTCCTCAGCACCAGAGAAAGATGCGGACCTGTTAGAGCAGGTCCAGAGCAGAGCCACAAAGATGACCCAAAGGCTGAAACCCCTCTCCTATGAAGACAGACGGAGAGAGTTGGGGTTGTTCAACATGATGAAGATAAGGCTCTGGGGAGACCTCACTACAGCCTTCTAGTACTTTATGGAGGCTTACAAAAAGGAAGGAGAGGGATTTTTACATGGGCAGACAGTGACAGGACAAGGGGGAATGGCTTTAGGCTGAAAGAGATAGATATTAGGAGGAAATTCTTTATTGTGAGAGTGGTGAAACACTGAAACAGGTTGTCCAGAGAGGCTGTGAATGCCCCATCTTTGGAAGCATTAAAGGCCAGGATGGAGCCTGGATGGAGCTCTGAGTAGCTTAGTGTGGGGGAAGGTGTCCCTGCCCACGGCAGATGGGTTGTTACTGGATGATTTCTAAGGTCCATTCCAATGCAAACCGTATTATAGTTCTATGACTGGTACACTGGCAATATGAGCATACCTACACATAACATACCTTGAAGAATTCTATCTACTGGTAAGCAACCTCCTTTTGGAGGGATTGAGCATTATTCTTTTTCTTTTGTGCAACAAAAATTTCAGAAATATGATTCAAGTATTTTATTGAATGCTGTGAAATTTTCTTGTTTCAGATAGTACTGTTTGGAATTTGTTTCCAGTACTCTTTACTGTAATATGTTGGATATTGCTACCTGAAATTTGTATCCACATATGAATTGTATCTTAATTTGATTTCTTCCTTTCTTGTGAATCCATCTTCAAACAGTTTCAGGCATTTCTTGAATGGCTTCTCTAGGCCTAAAACTCAGTCACTGTCCCAAGTGCATTTCCTGCTGGCAGAGCTCAATATATGGCCGAATGGTTGCTTCAGGGACTTCACCACTTCCTATATAGTTATTACACTTTCATTTTTAAGTTGGACTTTCCCTGTAAACGCTAAGGAACTCTTGATGATTGTCAGCATTAAATACTCATGATCCTTCTATACTGTATTATTTGATATTTTGGGGAATGTTTTCTTAGTCATAGCTGGAACTACTCAATTCAGCATGGTTTTCTTAGGCCTAA